TATAAGACAGTATTTCTAGTGTTGTACATGGATAGCGTATACATAATATACAGTAGTGCATGTATTCTTAGGAGAAAATAACCTGGATATTTAAAAGGTGAAGTGTAAGTTAGGGTACAAAGTGATTTAAAGCCCGGCCCCGAGTCTCCGCCACAGACGGTCTCACCCCCGTTTACGACGACACCCACGGCCCAGGACGCCCATGGCAGCCGCACCGTCCTCACTCACAACACAGGGAGGGCCCGGCCGGGCGGCACTCGGCAGGGAACGGACCAGCCGCTCAAACACGCACAGCGGCGGCTCTAGAACAGGCCGCGCCCACACCGTCCGGACTGGTTCCCACAGAGCTGATGAGACACGTCCCCCCCCAGGACCAGCACACCCGGCAGCAAGAAGAATAAATCTGTTTTATGTCTATTCGTGTAACGATGAGCATGCATTTCCTCGTGTGCAATTAGAGTTGCTGTTTTCACTGCAAAGCTTACAGGCCGGTGTCATCTCCTCCCACCCGCTGTCCGGGCCTGTAACTCACAGGGAGTCAGCCGTGGCTGCTCAGCGAGCGTGGCTCTCACACTGATCCCATCTTGGCCTGACTCTTCTTTTCTCCCTTCTCTCCCCCACCACCCCTTTCACTCCCTGTTACTCCCACTTCCCAGGCCACCTTATTCCCTTCAGCAAATCTCTCTTGAGCCTCCCTGCCTGTAAAGCGAAAGCGTGGTTCTCCCGCAGAGAACAAGTAAGAACCCGTAGCGTAGAGTGTGGGAGTAAAAGCAGCGTCCGGCCCACTTCACCCCATGTGGCTCGAGGGTTCTCCGTTCTCCCCAACCTGGCAACACCGCCAACACCCGAGTGCCGAGAACAGGAGCGCCGACCGGCAAACGGCTTTCTCCGCAGAAAATACACGTGTGTCTGATGACCAATGGAACAAGCCAGCAGAGAAGCGCATATGGTTAACGGTTCTGAAGCCGTCAGCAGACCATGGTCTGTCATGTGTTCAGATGGCAACATTATTAGACCTCCCAGAATGACGAAGAACATGTTGTATCTTCACATCAACCATCAATGCCAGTTTAACTACATCCTTTTGGAAATTAATAAGATCCTCTATTTTAAAAACTCCCAACACCAGTGGTTCTCAACCTCCTGGCCCTTTCAATACAGTTCCTCATGTTGTGACCCAACCTAAAATTATTTTCGTTGCTACTTCATAACTGTCATGTTGCTACTGTTATGAATCGTCATGTAAATATCTGATATGCAGGATGGTCTTAGGCGACCCCTGTGAAAGGGTCGTTCGACCGCCAAAGGGGTCGAGACCCACAGGTTGAGAACCGCTGCCCAACACACAGACATCATTCTTGCTGTCAGTGGTGAGGGAGAAAATCACCATTTCAATATCCGAACGAGCATATTCCAAACACTGTTAGAGCCGGAGCGCCCGGGACGCCACCACCTGCCCATCACAGCTCAGCCACACACTCCCTGCCGCTCCCGTCGCGGCCTCACAGCAGACACGGAGGACACGCACCAACACGGACAGGACTTTAACTCACTTTGTACCTAACTTACACTTCACCTTTTAAATATCCAGGTTATTTTCTCCTACGAATACATGTACTACTGTATATTATGTTATACGCTATCCATGTACAACACTAGAAATACTGTCTTATAATCCCTTTAAAAAACACTGTGTAACTGGTCAGTGATTGAACAGGGTGTCCCCCAAAATGTGTGTGTATTCTGAATGATTACAAAGTCCATGTTTATGAACACACGGTTCATTTTCAAAATCGAGTTATTAGCTGCTAAAGTGTATATACATTTTGGGGGACACCCTCTAGATTGTATTTTTCTATTTCTTTCTAAGTGGAATAAGCCAACCTGAGGAAGACCAGCATCACATGATCTCACTTATGTGTGGGATCTAATGAACAAAATGAACTGAACAACAAAGTAAGACCCGACTCAGGGAGGCGTGGAGCAGACGGATGTGCCTCGATGTGGGGGTGGGGGGACGAGCAGAGATAAACCAAAGGACTTACACACTCATATGCACAGCCCACGGACAGGGACAATAGGGGGGTGAAGACCTGGCGGGGGGGAGAGGCTGGGCAGAGAGGGGGAAAGGGTCGGAAATGGGAGACTCTGTAATACCATCAACAATAAAATATGTGTACACTAACATCATAATAATGTGAAATCTCACAGGGACACGGTAAGATAGGCGGGTGCTGATTAGCAGGTCATTATCGGGTGATTAACCATGTTAACCTACCTTGCCAATAAAAGCTCCCAGGACCACCAAGAAGCACTCTGTCGGCCTAGATTAAATCAGACAAAACGATGTATTTAAAAGCAGGTTCTTTAAACACGGGAAGCAGGGAGTTAAACACGAGAGCTGCATCGATGTACATATAGGAATGGAACACAGATACACATATATTGGAGCGAACAGGACCATAAACCTCAGACTCATCCAACTCAGTCTCAGGTATTCTCAATGTACCTTTTCTAAAATACAACAAAAATGAGAAGTTATATTCATTTAATAGATGAAAGTTAACGAACGTAACACAACACCCATAGACTCTGTGGCTCCAGGCTGCTTCACAAACTGGGAACAGAAGTTACCACAGGGTTACAACACGGAAAAAGTCACTCCTTCATATTGTATGTTACACGTGTGACTACACGGCAGCCTTCCCTCCTGAAATCCTTACAAACGTTTCAGCTAAAGGGAACCTTCAGTGTCCTGCAGACCCAGGCAGGAGCGAGATGAGAAGGCCAATTCCCAGGGTGTACGATACACACCCGTTACTCCGGGCCAGCACTGCTTGTACCCGAGCGAACCACAAGGCCCTGAGTCACGGCAGGTCGTGTTTAAGCCCCACATGTCGGAAACTTCTTCCTGCGGGAGGGAAAGGAAGTGACGTCCCCCTCCCTGTGCTCGCACAGCGCGTTCCGCTCTCAGCACCCTCCTGCGAGGCCGAGCGACAGAGACTTCTAAGTCGTCCGCTCTAAAATGACACCGTTCTTCAGGCAGGAGGCGAGGAAAGTGAGCGGCTAACTCAGCAATGACTGTTCCTATGAGAATATTCCTACCGGTGTCGGCACAGAAAACATGGACACTTTTTAAAAAACACAGTAGCCATTTGAAAATGTATCACGCAAGTTTAAACCTAATGTTTATCACCCTACTTTATCTCTTCGTTTTGCTCCCTTAAATTCTGAACTGAGAAAATTTTGGATTATGAATTTCCAATTGAGTAAATTAAAATCAATTACTTAGTAAGGAGAGCTAACCATAAGTGTCAGTACCTAGTCTAGAAAAAAAATTTAATGAAATATAGACATTTTTTAAGAAAGAAAATGCTTTATGATGATTATAGTTGATGTTCTAATAAACCTAAGGCACGCCTCCTCACATTCTATAAGAAAGCCGCAGGAAGCTTTCTGAGGAAGCGCTACTTTTAATCAATCAGCATATTTCTGAGATTTCTCTAAGAAGTGATTCATATTCTCAATTTCACATTCAAAATGCCCAGACCCCCTCCCCCCCAAATAATCACACAGACAAAACCCAGGAAGGAAAGAACTCAAGAAACTTTCCCTTTGAAAATATAAACCCAACTCTTATTTTAGGTAAAAGATAAAAACCATCAGCTCTGGAAAGCATGTGGGCCTCGTTAGAAATACGCGGATTCTGCCCTAACGGGTTTGGCTCAGTGGATAGAGCATCGGCCTGCGGACTGAAGGGTCCCGGGTTCGATTCCGGTCAAGGGCACGTACGTTGGTTGCGGGCACATCCCCAGTAGGAGATGTGCAGGAGGCAGCTGGTCGATGTTTCTCTCTCATTGATGTTTCTAACTCTCTATCCCTCTCCCTTCCTCTCTGTAAAAAATCAATAAAATATATTTTAAAAAAAAAGAAAATAAAAGAAAAATCAGCTTCCATCAAAACCAGAACACACGAACGTTCCAGGAACGCGTCTAACTGGGAATTTTAATGCTGAGTCGTAACAGTTATCTGCCATCCGCCGAGACGCCCCCCTGCCCTCCGGCCCCATGTGGATGCCAATTCCAGCAAAAGCAGCGTCGAGGGAGAGAACGCAGAGATCATCAAACACCTGGGCCACGTTCGCTGGCTGTCTGCCTGAAACAAGCCGTCGCTACCGAGAAGAGGAAGCATCGGCCGCTTCGTTTTAACCGAGACTGAGAGGAAGGCAGACTGGAGCCGGGCTGAGTTACTGAAATGAGAACTTACTTTCGTAAAATCAATGCTGAATCCTCCTTGACAGAATCCCTGTCCGTCAGCATCAATACTTTCTAAAATAAAAAAAAAGATTGGAAATGTACACAAGCCCCCAAAACAAGCGAACAACACACACAAGGACAACCTGACATCGCTGTGATGGTAAGACAGCGCGCATCTCACTCGCTCGGCACGCGGAGCGGCCGTCACGTGATGAACAGGTGCCCACGCGTGTTCTCTCGGCGAGGACCACGGATTAAAGTGCCCAGCCAGTCACCAGGCAACAGAAGAAACACCGCAGGCGGTGAATCTCCAACTTCTTACTTTTAACCACAAACCACAGCAAGGTTACATTTTATCACACACACACACACACACACACACACACACACACACCACCCAACGTGCACACACACACACACACACACACACCACCCAACGTGCACATACATACATAAAACAATTTCACAAAACAGTGCCACCATTATTATGTACCATACACTCTACCATTCTGTAGTTTATCGTATTTCATTCCTTTTTTTTTTTTTGATGACTGGTTAGGAACCACTATCTGACTTCATAAAACAATGACGAGTTGTGATCTGAGTTAAAAACTCCCCTTTGAGATTTCTGTCTCTTACTGTTATTATCCTACAGTTGGTAGGTCTTTGCACGAGTAAAGAAATACATACATTCCTAACACATCCATTTCTTACGTACATTTTACAGCCAATAACAACAACAGAATCTATTTAAAAAATAGTTCAGGACTTTCAGGGGACAGCCAGCACCTAACTGATGTTCTGTGAAAAGCAAAACACGGACCGCTCCTCACAACACGTTTAGTTCTGGGGTCGATGAACGCGGACGGCGTTAAACATGACACTTTCAGGTACTTTTACCTGATAACAGACTCCATCGTTCTACTCCTTGGGGGCGACCCTTTTGGGGGGATTTCTGGGCAACTGGTCTATTAATTTAAATGAAATTTAATCATGAGCAATATTGTACCTAGAATAGACGTAGGAATGAACCTAAAGATTTCCCCTTGTTTTATTCTGAGGAGAACAAGAAACAGCGAAAAAAAGGCTACTCTTCACTTGGCAGGGAATTTTCTTTTCTTAACCTACTTTCCAATTACAGTTGGCACACAATATTATACTACTTTCCGGTGTACAAACAGCGATTAGACATGTATATGCCTCGTGAAGCGGTAAATTCTTACAGCCAATGTCGCCATACAGAAATAATCATGCTGCAGTGTGACTGCATTTGCCTCCCAAATAGAGGAACCAAAACCGCTCTATCTTAAGTCATTAGGACAGCGTGCAAGGACTTTTGTCAAATACTCCCACCAAAAATTTTGAGCCCTTTTTTAAAAACTTGGGAACTGCCCCAAGATTACACACTCATATTCCAAATTTAGATTTTTTTTCCAGAAATAAACCTCTGAGTGTAAAGTCACCCGTGTAAAGTTTCCTCCCAGGAGGCGCGGGGAACTGCAGCGGGGTTTCCATCGACAGCACCTGTGAGCTCACACGCAGGAATTCTCTCTGACCTCAGGCCAGACCAGCACTTCCTTTACTCGGGTTACAGCCGGGAACTATCTCAGACTATTTATAAGGACGTCCCTTCACCGTCAGACTTCCTACAGTTTCCCAGAACTCCAGTTAGACACCACCCCTGCCCTTTAAAGTTGTCTGAACAGGAACACTATTTTTTTTAATGTGCGTGTGGTTTTTTTTTAATTGATTTTTAGAGAGAGAATAAGGGAGAGGGAGAGAGAGATAGAAACATCAATGATGAGAGAGAGTCACTGATGGCTGCCTCCTGCAAGCCCCCCACCGGGGATGGAGCCCACAACCCGGGTCTGTGTCCTGACCGGGAATCGAACCCTGACCTCCTGGCTCATAGGTCGACGCTCAGCCCCTGAGTCCCGCCGGCCGGGCAGGCACACCATTGAACGGAGTGCTAGTGCCGCCGTTAGGAATTTCACGTGGACCACGACCTCCTTCAGGGGAAGCTGGTGCTTTTATTCCTGCGGACGGTTACCCTTGCCCTCAGTGACGGCTGACGGCAGTGCTGACTGGGCAGGCGGAGCAGCTGTGTACGGAGCTTCCTGAGGCCCGCCCTGCTCTCAGCCCTTCCTGGCAGCATCTCACTGCCCACAATCCGCAGTCACCTGCACCTCGACCAGGGTCAGAGCAGCCAGGAGGGCCAGAGCAGGGTGCGAGCCCCGGTGTGTCCACCAGGAGGCGCAGGCCCCCTCTCCCCTCAGGAGCCACCCAGGGGCGGGGAAGCCAACTGGACATGAAAACCAAGAGGAGCTGTGTTCCCACAACATCTTTGTCGGGAGCGGGAGGCACACGCGCCTCCATCGGGCGTGGGAGTGAGAGCAGGTGCGTCCTGCAACGGGGGCTCCGCACTAGAGCAGAGAGGCTGGGCCTACTGTGCGCCGGCCACAGACACAGCAGGAAGCCCAGAGCACGTGTCATCAGGAACCAGGAAGCTGCTCACACAGTCAGGTTCCAGCCCAGGGTGTCCCCGTGGGTCATGCCTGCGGGGCTCAGTGATTGAGTGTCAACCTATGAACTAGGACAGTGATGGCGAACCTCTGACACGCGAACTCAGTTTTTTGGTTGATTTTTCTTTGTTAAATGGCATTTAAATATATAAAATAAATATCGAAAGTATACATCTTTGTTTTACTATGGTTACAAATATCAAAAAATGTCTACATGTGACACGGTACCAGAGTTAAGTTAGGGTTTTTCAAAATGCTGGCACGCCGAGCTCAAAAGGTTCGCCATCACTGGACTAGGAGGTCAGGGTTTGATTCCCGGTCAGGGCACAGGCCCGGGTTGTGGGCTCCATCCCCAGTGTGGGGCCTGCAGGAGGCAGTCGATCAGTGACTCTCTCCCATCCCTGATGTTTCGCTCTCTCTCTCCCTCTCCCGTTCTATCAATTAAAAAAGAAACTGTATTTGTCTAAAGTTCCCAAACTAGAGGACCCGTCAAAGTCACCCGTGGAATTTCTTTAAAACGCAGGTCCCAGGCCTGCCCTTGTCCCACTGAGTCAGAATCTCTGACGTCTGTTAGAAAAGCTCAGTGGAGCTTCTTTTGACTAAAAGTCACTAAAAATACAAGCTTCCAACATGGAGTATGAGTGACGACTAACTACGGAGGATGGAGACTCCTTCAGAGACAAGCCTGCCGCCCGCACACTTGTCCTGACTTTACGGTAACAGGACTGGCTTCACTTTGCTGTCATCAAACATGACAGCCTGTCTATACATGTTCACCCCCTCCCTCGACACGCGCACACACACACACATGTGCATGCACACACGCACATGCACACACACGCACACACACATGCTCACACACACGCGCGCGCACACAGGCACACACACGCACTCACATCCTTAACCATCTAGGCCCCCCGCCCTGTTCTCAGAGGGGTGCACATCCCACACGTACTTGACCGGCACGGGGCGTACTCCACGGTCCGCGCCCCGTCCTGAAGGAAGCAGGTGCCCACGGGCTCTCGCTCCTGCTTCGTCTCCGTCCTCCAGTGGTACAGCGGGGCGCAGGCCTGCCGTCAGAGGGGCCAGTGAGCGCGAATTCTCGGAAACCAGCGTCTCAGACCACCTCGCCTGCCCCAGAGCAACAGTCCTCTGACTCAGGGCTCCGATGTACGGATGGTGCGGATTTCCAGCCACGGGCAGGACAGGAGGGGCTGGGGAGAAGGCCTCGACAGAGACTCTGGGGCCCAGAACAGACCCCGGGGACACCCCACACTTAGAAAGTGAGCAGGAGAGGAGCCATTGAAGGAGACGGCAAAGGAGTAGCCAGGGAGGGGGAGGAAGCCAGGCCAAGACGGGGTCCGTAGCCAAGGGAAGGGCATGACTTCAAAAAGGGGTTGCCAGGCCAGGGTGGCTCAGTGGTTGGGTGTCGGCCCATGAACTAGGGGGTCACGGTTCAATTCTGGCCAAGGGCACATGCCCAGGACGCACGCTCGATCCCCAGTGTGGGGCGTGCAGGAGGCAGCTGATCCGTGATGTTTAACCATGAAACTCCCTTCATTTCTACATAAACCAACTACGAACAAATATCCAAAACACTCACCAAAATTTTGTCCTGCTTGGACCTCACGGATGCGCCAAACCACTGGTGGGACTTAAACTCCAGCGGGTCGTCCTTGGCATAGTCTCTGTTGCCTGAAAAACAGAGGGTGTGCGGACGCGCATCAAACAGCGTGTTCTAGTGCAACGGCTGGTTCCACGCAGCAGCTTCAACAGCGTGGCTCTGCTCAACCAAACTCCACGTCGCCTGTTTATCTCCTGCACTTTCCACCGAATCGGAAAAGATGCCTTGGCCACGTCTCAGGGTGTCACTGACCTCATCGATCGCCCTAAGGCGGACGTGGAACAGTAAGAGCCGTCGACGTTTTCCGGTTGCTAAATTGTAGGTAACTGACGATAAACAAATACTTATGATGCCGACTGGCCCCCCGGCAGCTCTCTCTGTGGCATAAAGATATTCACGGAAATAAGAGGCTACGAAATGCGGCTGCAGAACACCAGCCGCAGAAGGCCCCCGTCAGGGACCAGCGGGCCGGGCGCTGTGATGTCAGAGCGGAATCAGGAGCCAGGACGCCGCTCGGAGGGAAGAGAACTCAGTTCTCCTCCGGCTGCGTGACCGCGAAAACTACTCCCAAAGTCCCAGGCGAAAACGAGATAAAAATCCGTCACTGAAAACGAGATAAAAATCCCTCCCGCGGTGCAGCTCATGGAGGATGGGGAGGAGAGACCAGTTTGTTCATCTCTAGTTTGTTCTGCTGAAAATCCCTTCACAATCCTTCCTCATAAGTGCAAGAGGCCAAGACCAGTGTCGACATTAAGAATGCAGGCCCACGTGTGAATATCACCAAATGCCCCGAGTACCTCCGCTCTTCAAATCCGTTCCCTAAGCCGCACCCGTGTAGGGCAGTACGATGGTTATTCAATTCCGATGGTTATTCAATTCCGTTTTGGAGACTTGACATTCACGGACAGACATAAAGGATTAATGAGCATCTCAGTGATGCCAGCTGTCTGACAGGCAAGGGGAAGGGTGTACCCTTGTTCATCGTAATATTCTTTTTTTTATTGTTTAGAAAAATTTTTAAAACATATTTGCATTGATTTCAGAGGGAAAGGGAGAGGGAGATAGAAACATCCATGATGAGAGTCACTGATCGGCTGCCTCCTGCACGCCCCACACTGGGGATCGAGCCCACAACCTGCCTTAACTGGGAATCAAACCATGACCTCCTGGTTCATAGGTCAACGCTCAACCACTGGGCCACGCCGGCTGGGCTGAAAAAAATGTTTAATGTGTCAACCTCAAAGGCCTCGCTCTATCTGAGTCCCAACACCATGTTCCCCGCCCGTGGTCAGGAGGCTCCGTTTTGTAAGTAGAGGGAAGAGGAGGAGCAACGGACCAGTTGACACGCGTCCTTCACCGTGAAAACCAAGGCTCCCAGCAACGCTGGCTGCCTCTGAAGCCGTGTTCGCCATGTGGTCCCCCCTGGGAGCAACCACATCCGTGACCTGCAGGTCCCCAAGCAGCCCGCAGGGCCCTCACTCCATCCTCCCACGGGAGTGGAAGCCACAGGCCAGGTGCCTGCCAATACCCTCAGCACAGACAGAAGTGACCGTTCAAGACGGCTCAGCGTGGATATGGGTTAACTAATCATCATTAAAATGGAAAGGAAAACCACAGTAAGATATCACGGCACATCAGTTAGAATGGCTGTTATTTAAAAAAAAAAAAAAAGGATGAAGAAATGTTTGCAAGGATGTGGACAAGAGGGAACCCTTGTACACTGTCGGTGGAAATGTAACTGGTACAGCCAATCATGAAAAAAACAGGCTGCTCAGGAAGTTAAACGTAGAGCTGTCACATGACCAGCAACCCCGCTCAGGATTCACAGGAAAAGGCAATAAAATCACTGTCTTGAAGGGTCTCCGTGCTCCCAGCACCCACAACAGCCAGGACACGGAGGCCACCTAACTAACCGCCTCTGAGGAACGAAGGGAGGAAGAGCTGAGGACCCAGGATGAGGGCAGCGCAGGCGGAAGGCGTTCGCTCCTCCCAGATCCGCAGCTGAAACGCAGAGCGATCACCGAGCAGCCAACGCAGACGAGCCGCACAGAAGTCTCCCGACCGGGACGGACAGAAGCCACATGGATGGCAGGAGCGGGGAGTCGAGCAGGGCTGGCCCCACTCCGCGGCAGCTGAGAGGAGGGGGGGTCCCTTGGCGGCGAAGGTCCCCCTGAGGAGCGTGGGGTCAGGCCCACACGGGGAACCCCAACCCCGAGCCCCAGAGCCGGGGAGGGCACCCACATCACATCGGCTGAGGAAACCACGGAGTGTCCGCCGCTGGGGGACCTGGAGCTGAAATGAAAGGCAGATGTGCCCCGACAGCCGGCGTGCCCGAGGTCATGTGATCCCCGTGCTGTCAGTGACATCACCGACGGGACACACGCACAGCGACCCCAGGACCAGCCCCTCTCAGGAAGAGGTGAATCACCCACGGGCGCGCGCCTTCGGGGTCACACCGCAATCGCTGTCCTTCAGGACTTTGCTCCACAGGCAGTTCCCTCTTTTAACCGCCCCACCTGGGAACACGCGACAACACGCGACAGCCTCAGGCAGAGGAAGTGTGAAGGGGCGGGGCCCTCTGTCCGCACAAAGGGACAAGCAGCTCAGGCCTGACCCCCCCACCCCACCCCCCACCCCTCACCCCCTGCTGCAGCGGGTGCCACAAGGGGTGGGAGGGAAGTGAAGACACAGTCATGGCCCTGAGGCCCCCCAGGCTGCGAGGCCCAGGCCCCGGGCTCCCCAGGAAATGAGATGCGGTCAACGCAGAAGTGCCCGTGGGAGGACATGGTCCCAGGCCCCGGGCAAGAAAGAGCCCCGACTTCTGCGCATCATTCTATGAAACACCTCGGACCGTTCGTTTCCTTAGATCTTCCAGATCTGTGGTCGGCAAACTGCGGCTCGCGAGCCACATGCGGCTCTTTGGCCCCTTGAGTGTGGCTCTTCCACAAAATACCACGTGCGGGCGCGCACGTACAGTGTGATTGAAACTTCGTGGCCCATGCGCAGAAGTCGGTTTTCGGCCTGGGCGAGTCTATTTTGAAGAAGTATTGTTGACATTTGGCTCTGTTGACTAATGAGTTTGCCGACCACTGTTCCAGACAATTAAACAGTTTTTCCCACAATAGTGAGAGGAGAAGACACGTCCCCCATCACATAAACTAACATATTTTATCACTTTCAAACATCGAGTTGAGCCCTGGCCGGTGTGGCTCGGTGGTTGAGCGTCAACCTACGAACCAGGAGGTCAGGGTTCGGTTCCCGGTCAGGGCACGTGCCCAGGTTGCAGGCTCGGTCCCCAGTGTGGGGCGTGCAGGGGGCAGCTGACCAATGGTTCTCTCTCATCATTGATGTTTCTGTCTCTCCCTCTCCCTTCCTCTCTGACATCAAAAAGATATATTTTTTAATTAATTAATTAAAAAAATAAAATTAGATATAATTTTTTCCAAAAGCAAAGAGGAGGAGTGAGAACAGCAGAGCCAGGAGGGGGTACGGGGAAGGCCATGTCCCGGACGGGTGTGCGTCTGTGCATTTACAGAGTCGTCTCTCCCACGGGGACAGGAACCAAGGCACCCCCCCCCCCCCAGCGCCCTCCACCAGCGAGTGTGCGAGGTTCGGCTGAGCAGCGGAGAACACAGGCCCTTTGAGAGCGCCCCCCCGCATCAATGCTGGCTTGTTCCCCAGTGAGGAGACGGAAATGCTCCTGAAAGCATCTAGCAGTTCAAGACAAAAACCCTTTGCTGACGGCTTTTGTTTTAGAGCCAAGTCCATGTTAAGCCTTAAAAAAGGGGGAACGTGTCAGGTCAGCGTGGCCCAGAAAGAGGCTTTAGAGCAGTGGTTCTCAACCTTCCTAAGGCCGCGCCCCTTTAACACAGCTCCTCGTGTGTGGTGACCCCCAATTTCATTGTTACAAATTGAACATAATGAAAGCACAGTGATTAATCACAAAAACAATATGTAATTATATATGTGTTTTCCGATGGGATTAGGCGACCCCTGTGAAAGGGCCGTTCGACTCCCAAAGGGGTCTCGACCCACCAAAGGATCCTAAGAAAATTCCGTTTGGGCAAAACATCGCAAGTGTTAAAATAGCAACTAACGGCACAAGTGAGTCGCCTGGTGACACAGGACGGGCTCACTGACCCCAGGCTGCCGGCCACTCCCCGCTGGTCTCGTTCTGCACCGACCACCTCTGGAGAAATGGTGTCATTACACAGAAAAGGAAGCCCCAGCCGGTGTGGCTCAGTGGATAGAGCGTGGGCCTGCGGACCAAAGGGTCCTGGGTTTGATTCCGGCCAAGGGCACATGCCTGGGCTGCAGGCTCCTCCCCGGCCTGGGCCCTGCCTGGGGCACGTGTAGGAGGCAAATAAACAATGTCTCTCTCTCACATCGATGTCTCTCTCTGCCTTTCCCTCTCCCTTCCACACTCTCCAAAAATCACCGGAAAATATCCTGGGCTGAGGATTAAAAAAAAGAAAAAAAAGGAAAGGAGGGAAGAAAGGACTTCACACAGTCACAAGCTTCAACTGTTGGCCCCACCACCATCAGGGCGCCTCTCCTGGCTGGGCTCTCGGACTCGCCAACGCCCAACGCCGAGCCCGCCCGGTGGTGCTGCCCGTCGGCCTGCAGCTGCTCCGTCCAACGGCGTTCACCCTCCGGGCGCCGTGTGGGCAGAAGCCGTGCTATCCAGCCGCTCAGCCACTCGGAGTCATGAGTCCCATCGGCAGGTAGAACAGGAAAGGCGAGCCCGGCCGGCGTGGCTCAGGGGTTGAACATCGACCTCTGAACCAGGAGGTCAGGGTTCGATTCCCGCTCAGGGCACAGGCCCGGGTTGTGGGCTTGATCCCTGGTGTGGGGCGGGCAGGAGGCAGCCGGACCATGATTCTCTCTCATCATTGATGTTTTTCTCTCTCCCTCTTCCTTCCAGTTGTGATACAATCAGTCACTAATGAACGACAGCTGATCCTGCTGGTCACTGTACATTGTGCTAGAATGCAAAACCCCGACCCGTGTCACGCGGCCTCACAGGTCTTCCTCCCTGTGAGGAAAGCCTGAGCCGGCCGGGGTCCTTTTGGGGTTCCCCGTGTCAGCCGCGTGTGGAAACAGCAGGGCCTCATGCAGACGGCTCACCTGGAAAAACCGGGCACGTGACCGCTGCCTCCGGGCCGGTCTGATGACTGACACCCACTCTGGCGCCGGTCACGACGGCAAACGGAACAAACAGCCCACATCACGGTTCCCGTGTCACTGACACTGCCGTTCCCGGAGCAAATACGGTTTAGGACGAGCAGGAAGTAACAATGCGGAAAAGGCACTCACCTCCCCAGCTTATCCTAAACTCCGAGCACAGCCAGCAAACCAGGAGCATTTGAAGAAAAGGGTCAAACTCCTGCACATGGAGAGCGTCACCCCACTTCTTTGGGGCTTCCTACGCTTTCACAAATGTACAACACGGGTGCGTGCAGGATCATACACAGGGCAAGCCCCCAAAGCGTATAAAATGTACATGTAAATGAATAGTGACTAATTCCAACGGGTTACATCTGAGAAGAAGGAAACATCCATTGAGCTGTCAGCTGTTAAAGCTGTTACATTTGGGGGAACACCCTCTACCTTATTTCACGGATCTAAATGCAAAACTTATTTTTTTTTATTGATTTCAGAGAGGAAGGGTAAGGGAAAGAGAAACATCAGTGATGAGAGACAATCATGGATAGGCTGCCCCCTGCACGCCCCCTATTGAGGATCGAGCCCACAACCCGGGCCTGTGTCTTTGACCGGAATCGAACCTGGGACCCTTCAGTCTGCAGGCCGGTGCTCTATCCACTGAGCCACCGCAGCCAGGGCTACATATCTTATTTTAGTAGAATTTTACAGTTACATTAAAGCAAGCACTTTCAAAAACCAATATTCTTAAAAAACCAAACAGCAGCTTTAGCCAGGGGCCGGCCCCGCGTTTACCTGTGGCGTCGAACTCGATGGGCTGGCACCGCCGCGGGGAAGCCCAGTCGCACTTGAGGACCTGGCCGCCCTCCACGATGCCCGGCTGCGTGGTGTTGGCCTTGGGCGCGCCCACCAGGAGGAACATGCTGGAACCAGAGGGAGAGGCGTTAGCCGGGCACAGAGCAGAGGCTGTGCAATGGCACCTGAGCCCCAGGCCGGCCGTCCCTGCTCCCGCCCTCCAGGGTGGCCCCTGGGAAGGCCCCTCCGCCCTCAGGACGCCCCTCCGAGTGCTCTCCTCACATCACCTCCCACGCCCGCCTCCCATCCGCCCCTCCAGGCGACCTGGGTCCCCCCTGAACTCGAGATGCAGGAGGGGCAGAGGCAGGAGGGGCAGAGGCCCTCGGGCACACGGCTCTCAGCCCCTGCAGGTCCTGCTCCCAGGGGCCCTCTGTGGGCTCAGGAAATATTCATAAAAGCCCTGTCCAGGCCGGGCGTTCTCCGTGGGCAGCCTACATAGGGCACGCGTCCATTTTCACGTTTACTTGGTTTCAGTTCCATTTCGTGGGGAGGCCTCTGCCAGGTCAGCCTAGTGCTCAGCGCTGGCTGCGTGGACGCTGCCTGGGAACCTGCCCGGACCCCACCTGGACCCCCAGACTCACAGCAGACGCGCCCAGCGAAGCGCACCCACGGGCGCACCCAATGCTGCCCTCCTCCAGGCCCCACGACTCTGCGAGAAATCGGCCTCCCTTCCCTTCAGGGAGAACCATCCCGAGAGAACGATCAGACGGGCGTCCGCCCTCGCTGCCCTGTCTCTAGAGCGGAGCCCGGATGCTGGCACCCGTCACGGGAACGTTTCATCGCAGCAGGCGAGCGAGGGCCACAAGCCTCCCCCCGCGTGGGGGGGGTCACTTGTGAGTGACGATGGGAGAAGGCACATCTCACGCGGGTACGGGCCAGGGTCCGCGTGGAGGGGAGGGGCGCTCGCCGTGACCTCTGACCCACGGCGCAGGCACAGGGCGCCCGTGAGCTTGGTGCGGGGTGCGGTGCGGGGTACGGGTGTCTAGGCCGTTGGGCGGGGCAGCTGGCCCTCAGGACGCCTGAAGCCACACGCACATTCTTTTCTGGACCCTCAGCTCACACCGTCACACAGCCTTTCACGGGCCTGTGGCTGTTGTTAATCCTCCCCAGGGGATGTTTTCCCATTGCTTCTCAGAGAGTGGATGAAAGTGGGCGGGGGGGGAGGGAGAGAGAGAGAGAGAGAGGGAGAGAGAGAGAGGACTGCTGGCCTCCTGCACACGCCCCGACCGGAAAGTGGGGAGAGACCCACAGCCCAGGTCTTTGTCCTTGACGGGGAGTCAACCCCACGACCCTTCTGTGCTCAGGCCACACCCAAACCACTGAGCCGCACCAGCTAGGGCCATTCTCTTACCATTTTCTTTTTTTTTTAAATATATTTTATTGATTTTTTACAGAGAGGAAGGGAGAGGGAGAGAGAGTTAGAAACATCGATGAGAGAGAAACATCGATGAGAGAGAAATCGATCAGCTGCCTCCTGCACACCCCCCACTGGGGATGTGCCCGCAACCAAGGTACATGCCCTTGACTGGAATCGAACCCAGGACCCTCCAGTCCACAGGCCGAGGCTCTATCCACTGAGCCAAACCGGTTAGGGCTCTTACCATTTTCTATCAAGGCTATTTCCCCCCTTTACAATGAATTACTTCCTTGAGGGGAGAGGACGCTAATTCATCTTTGTATCTGACACACAACACCACCCAAGAAGAGATTTTTAAACTGACCGCTGAGAAGCCAGGAACTGTGGTATCCAAAGGGTTAAACATACCACAGCGCCTGTAACGGAGCCACTTCCCAGCGCCGGGGAGCGTGAAGAAAGCACCTCCTAACGCACCATCACGGTGGAAACTGCCTGTAAACTTATCGTATTTGGGTTCCGGATGCTTCGCCCGGCACCTGAGGCAGGGGGGCCGCGTTCAGAGTGAACATGCAGCCGAGCTCCGCGGGTGAGAAGGAACAAGGCGCCTCTCATCCGACGCTGCCCGTTCCAGGCACGAGGGCGGCGATCGGGCGGACGCACGGGGGTGTCGCCGAGTCCACCTAAGATACTCTGTGTGCAGTCGGCCCTCGGCTGCAGCACGACAGACAGACACGGTGGGACCACACGGAAGGAAAGTGTGAGCCTGCAGGTCCTGACTGCGAGGCCCTGGGGGGAGGCAGCCGAGGAATCAAGTTCTTGGTCTAAAATGTCAGCATGTGCCCAGCCGGCCTGGCTCAGGGGCTAAGCATTAACCTATGAACCAGGAGGTCAGGGTTCGATTCCCGGTCAGGGCACAGGCCCGGGTTGCGGGCTCCATCCCCAGTGTGGGGCGTGCAGGAGGCAGCCGATCCGTGATTCTCTCCCATCACTGATGTTTCTATCTCTCTCTCCCTCTCCCTTCCTCTCTGACATCAATAAAGACATATAAAAATAAATAAATAAGGAAATAGAATGTCAACATGGAATTTAAGTTACTTTGGAGAGGATGGCGGAGAGTGTTGAAAAGTGGAACACGGAGAGCGGGGAAGGCGAACCGGCCTTGGGTGGACGTGAACTTCTGGAGAGGAGTCGTGTGGAGGAAAACCACATATTTGTGAGGAACCGAGGACAGAGGACGGCAAGAGGCGCGGAGAGAAGGAAGGAACATGAAAAACAGCACAGACCACGGAAAACAAAGGCCTGTTGTGTGTTGGGAGGGTGCCTTCATGTCCTGTGGTTTTTGACACAATAACACAAAGAGCCTGCTAATGAGACACTCCACACAAAATTAAATAATTGCTCCTTGAAGCTCATCCAAGAAACCCAATGACCGTCTGCAGCAGCTTGATCAGGGCCACGGGGTGGCCGCCCGGAGAAAGCGTTTGCAACACAAGCAGCGCTGCCCTAGGGCACCGTTCGGGACTAAACAGCTACCACCTGACATAACTCCACCGAGAGAGTCGCGTTCATTCTCCAAGTGTCAGCTTCCTCTGTGCTGAACGGAGGTAACGGTGTCGACTGCCATGACCCACAGAGTGAGGTTTCAGGACGCGGGCAGCAGACGCCGGCTCGCCTAGGACCCCTGACGGCACCCCCGGAGACCAGACCATGGCATCCGAACTAGAAGCAACAGGAACACACTCCCCAGTGACATAGGAATAGAAACGTTCAATCCACTATTTTTAAAAAATATATTTTTATTGATTTTTTATTGATTTCAGAGAGGAAGGGGGAGAGAGATAGAAACATCAATGATGACAGAGAATCATGGATTGGCTGCCTCCTGCACACCCCACTGGGGATGGAGCCTGCAACCCGGGAATGTGCCCTTGACTGGAATCGAACCTGGGACCCTTCAGTCCGCAGGCTGACGCTCTATACACTGAGCCAAACCAGCCAGGGCCAAATCTACTTTTTTTAAGGGTTTTTTTTTTTTTCTTTCCTTGGTTTCCTCCAAGGACCACTGACGAACTCAAATGCTGCAAAATCGCAGAGAAAAGAGGAAGGGTAGGAAGTCGCTGGGCTGCCGCGTTTCCTGCCGACAGTGGAGACTGGGGAAGGCACACAGTGGTCACTGGGGTTCACAGAGGTCGCCCCGGTCAGCAGCAAATCATCTGAAGCTCAGCAATTTCATTTCTTTTTTAAAAAAAATATTTTATTGATTTTTCACAGAGAGGAAGCGAGAGGGATAGAGAGTTAGAAACATCAATGAGAGAGAAACATAGATCAGCTGCTTCCTGCACACTCCCCACTGGGGACGTGCCCACAACCAAGGTACATGCCCTTGACCGGAATCGAACCTGGGACCCTTCAGTCCGCAGGCCGACGCTCTATCCGCTGAGCCAAACCGGTGAGGGCGGCAATTTCATTTCTTATGCCTGCAACTTTCCCTCCAAGAAGTTTGGCCAAGAGCAGTATCAGGATCCCATCCTCACCGTTCTGTTTATTTTATTTTTTCAAATATCTTTATTGATTTCAGAGAGGGAGGGAGAGAGAGAGACGGAAACATCAATGATGAGAGAGGATCCTTGATCGGCTCCTCCTGCCC